GCTCATTCATTTCCTGACTACTTAGACCTGAATAATCACACAGAAACTATATTATTTACAACATTATTTAGTCTATTATCTCAGGCTTCTTATTAACTAACTCTTACATCTTAAATCAACCCATTTTTATTAATCTGTGTACTGCCACGAGGCTGTGGCCTACCTGTAAGTTTCCCTCATGTCTCTCTCCTTTGGCAGCTACATGGCATCTCCCTGACTCCGCCTACTCTCTCTATATCTCTGTTCAAATTTCTCACCCGACTTTACTCTGCTAAGCCATTATCCGAAACAGCTTTATTAATTAACCAATAAAAGCAACACATATACAGAAGGACCCCCACATCATCTGTGTGCATGCGTCCCTATACCACATGCATGCCTGATACTGGCAGAGTCCAGAAGAGAATGTCAGATCTCCTGGGACTGAAGTTATAGGCAGCTGCCACATAGGTTCAGGGACTCAAACTCCTGTCCTCTGAAGGAGCAGCCTTAACCATAGAGCCATTTCTCCAGTCTTTTGGAATTTTTTTAAAGCTTGCTTGAATATATATTTCTAATTGACTTTATGTATTTCCATATTTATCTTCCTCTGTTGAGTTGATTTCCTTGTGCAAGGACTTCAAACAGCCCCAAGCTCATGGTCGGGTTCAAGTGAAGGGAGGGGGAGGTCAGGAAAGCCAGGAAGGTAGGAGCCCAAGGTGGGGGGTCAGACAAACCGTGGGTCTGGGATTTCAGGTAGTGACGAGTACCTCTAAGACTCCCAGAACTTCGGTACACCCTCTTATAGAGCATCTCTGTCTTCAGCAGTTTGCAAGGCGAGGGAGGCAGCAGCAGATGGGGGATGCTTGATGGGGGAAGTCTAAGGACCACCTTCAAGGTCGGGGGGCCGGATAACTGTAGGCTCCCAGCTCCGCACAAAGGAGAACATTTCTGTTTTCCCACTCGCAGAGTGGAGTCTGGCCTAAGCAGTTCCCTCCAAGGTTCTGGGTTTGACTCTGGAGCTCCTGTCTGAGGAGAGACCCTTCCCTTAGTCATCTTGTAATTCCTTCTTCTTACTCCCAGGACATTGCAACATACTCAAAAGTTTTATACCTTGATTTTCGTGCAAACAGTGTTGAGACAATGGGTTATTAGGTCGTGCCTGTTTACACAGGCCTTACAGTCTGTGGTTCCCATATCAACTTCAGGTTCCTAGTTTTCTTTTCAAAATTCTTACTTTTACTTTGCTTTATGTAGATGGGAATTTTGCCTGCACGCATGTCTGTGTGCTGTGCATGCTTGCGGAGGCCAGACGAGGGCTCTGATCCTTTAGAACTGCAGTTATAGACAGTTGTGGCCACCATGTGGATGCTGGGAATTGAACTCACGTCCTCTGGAAGAGCAGCCAGTGCTCTTAACAGTTGAGCCATCTCTCCAGCCACACTGCCTATCCTCCAATAGAATTATGGTTTCCCAAAAGTTTTCGCTTGTGAATCCCTGTTCTCTAAACTTGAGCCATTGTGGGTTTTCTAGATTATAGGTGTGATCATTTGTTTCCTGTTTAACCCATTCCTGCCCTCCTCTGGTCCAGGAGGACAATTTCCCCAACTAACATTGCCTCCTGTGGCCTTGTTTCCATGAACCATGGACGCTTTGAACACACTTGATCTTTTCCCCTTTGGTCGTGCCTGTTGTTCCCATTGTCCGGGATGCTGTCTGCCTTTTTAAGTTCCTGGCATCCCTAAGTTCCGCTGCCAGGCCTTTACTTTCAGGAGTTGTTTTCTACCCTGGCATCACTGAATTGGTCCTTTGTGCTTCTGTAGTTCCTATGGAGTTGAAATGCTTAAAATATGGTGTTTGGGGCCTGGAGAGATGGCTCAGCAGCTAAGAGCACTTGACTGCTCTTCCAGAGGTCCTGAGTCCAATTTCCAGCACCCACATGGTGGCTCACAGCCATCTGTAATGGAATCATATTCCTTCTTCTGGTGTGCATGAAGACAGAGTACTCGTACACAAAATACATGAATAAATCAATCTTTACAAAATATGATGCTTGGCTGTTACTTGGTTTTCCTCCTCACTGAACTCGGAATTTTGTGTTGGGAGGGACGGGCCTTTGTTTACCATCGTGTTTCTCACAAACTGAAATATAATACCTGTCATATATTAGTCCCCATTAATTGCTAAGTGGATCCACGTATCCATAGTAAGTGTTAGAACGCTTACACCAGCTCCTTTTCTGGGAGGGAGAGAGGGCAGAATGGAGAATAAAGACTTCTCACAAAGTCGCAGTGCCTGGTGGGAGAATCTGATCTGGAGCCCAGCTTCCTCCAGAGAAAAGCGCCGTGCTCTGGAAGGTCCTGCAGAAATGCTGCAGTATTTCTCCACTGCCATCTTGGGTGACGACAACAGGCTGACAGAGTCGCCCCTCGTGGGTGGCTCACGTCTGTTGACTCGTGGGGGATAGACAACTGTGCTTGCTAATACGTGACCTCTCTTTCCCTCCGTCTTCTGCTCACAGCGTCAAGCTGAGCCCTCAGTCCACGGTGCAGGCCCAGGATGAGGAGGAGAGCCGGAGAACAGTCACTGTCAACCCTGCCCACATGGGAAAGGCCTTCAAGGTCATGAATGAGCTTCGAAGGTATTTTCCTACCCTCCCTGTGCCCTTTCAGATGGAACCCGAAGGGTGAGCTCCACTAGGGGCTGAGATCAGACATTGGGGCACACCACCTGCTGAGTTCCAGCTTCGTGGCCCACTCTCGTTCTGCTCCCGCTTCAGATTCCGAGACTGAAGCCTCCCCCTTTATAATTATCCAATACCTACATTTCAGTGATTAATCACTGGGGGCGTTCATTTGTGGGTAGAGCAGGTCTGTGGCTAAGCCTGGGAGCTGACAATGGGGTGACTGCGCACTGACACACAGGCAGATGAGACAGCAGACGGCACACACTGGTTAGCTCCCCCCCTCTCATCTCTCGGACAGTTCAGCTTGGGAAGGCCGCCACACAAGTGGCAGAATGCACCTCTCCTGAAACGTATGTCTACTTTGTAAAGATGTGAGGTGAAAGTGCCTCTGATCCCCCGAGCCATGTGGTGAGGGCATGGGGGCTGTTTGTAAGGCCAGTGTACATGTTTGGCAAGCATTTTGCGATATGGGTTCTGGGCACTGAACGTGTTCTCTGGTACAAAGCCAATGGGGAGCATTTCCTCCTGTCTCAGCTACTGCCCAGGCCCTGGGAGGAGTGGGTAGGAGCCACGAGGTCAGGAGTGTGAAAAGAGCCTCTTAGAGCAGGCATGCTCGGATGTAGGATGTACCAGGCCTGACAGCCGCAGGTGCACACACTTAGATTTGTTTTCTAAAGGGTGGAGCAGAAACAAGCATGAGAATGAACTTTGGGCATGCAGGAGACTCTTGACCTGAGTGTTGAAGGCCAAGGGAGAGTTCAAGACACAAAGGGTGGTGGGGGCAGGGAGGAGACCTCTAGGCAGAAAAAGCGGCCCATGGCTGAGAAGTGGGTGCCGCGTGGGGGATAGACCGTCTTTAAACAGACGCTCTATTTGATTCCTTTAGGAAATCTTTTGAACTTTACTATCATTGTCTGTGTGTGTCACAGCGTGCATCTGTGTGTGTCTGTGTGCAGGAACATGTTTGTGCTACAGTGTGCATCTGTGTGTATATGTGTGTCTGTGTGTGGGTGTATTGGTGTCACAGTGTGCATTTGGGAGGCAGAGGACAACTCTCAGCCAGTTCTCTCCTTTCGCCTTTAGCTGGGCTCTGGGGACTGAGCTCAGGTTGTCAGGGTTACATGGCAAGCTCCGTAACCCAGTGAGCCACCTCACCAGTCCCGAGGTTCTCATTCTCTGTTGGTTTTCTCAGTTCTCCTTTTTGCATGGCCAGTATTTAGCACGCGCACATGTATACACACACACACACACACACACACACACAATTAAATTAAGCAACACATGACATATTGTTCAATTTGTTTAGGCCTCCCGCCAGATTCCCTGGAAAGTCTGGGAACGTAGGTGCTAGGATGGAGGCCATGCACACAGACCCAGATCTTCTATCACTGAAGAATCTTTGTGGTCTTTCCTAGACACTGTTGGAACTCCACAGTTAGCCCCTCAGGGCACAGATTATGTCAGTTATCCAAGAGTGGGTTTTCTCCCCAGACCTGAGTTTGCTGAGCAGATTCTCCCTCCTCACCCCCAGCTACGACACCCTTTCCTTTTAGATTTAGAATTCACCCTGGTGTACCTGCTGGTTCCTGTATTTCAAGTCTTTCTCCAAAAGCGTCTGCTTGACTTGGGTCTAACTCTGCCCAGGAGTCGTACTGTTCCTTCACCTTTTAGGGCTTGGCACTGCTGACGTCTGAGGAACACTAGCTCCTTCTAGACACTATGGGAAAACAGAGTCTTGTACTGAAACTCGATTGGCCTTGAGAATGCACGTAGGCATATTGAAGGCTCTGCTGTGGCTGACTAAAGACTCCCATATGTGCTTGAGACTTAGACTCGTGTTAGCGTTTGGGAAAACATCGGTGTGAGAACCACAGTATTCTGCTGAGGTTTAAATGAATACTTGTCTGTCCTCTTTCTGCTTTGTTCAAATGGACCACATTCTGTTTATATTTGAAACTTTTAGTTTGGGTGTAGGCATGAGTTGCGCCTGCCCTCTGTCTTCCTTTCTGCGCTGTAGCTATTGCAGCAGAACATTTAGAGAAGGTCGATGATCAAAAAATCACCAATAGAGGTGGCTCAGTGGTTTAGAGTGTTGGCTGCTCTTGCAGAGGACCAGAGTTCAAATCCAAGCTCACAATCATTTGTAGTTCCAGTTTCAAGGGTCTGACACCCTCTTTTGGCTGCAACAGACACTCACTGCATGCATACTGCACAGATGTACATCCAGCCAAAACACCCACATACATAAAATAAGAATAAAGGTTAAATGTTTTAAAAAGTCATAATTTTGTTAATGACCTATAGATAGTGCTTTGGGGCTTAGCCTTCTCTTCTTTGGCATACTTACAGATTGATTTCTCTCCTTGTTCTATCATTGAACATTTTTTTCCTACTTCACTGTCTCTAGCATGAATCACATGGATGGGCGGCTTCCCACTTTTGGCATTTTATAAAAAAAGTCAATCCCCTGCTGATGGATGTCACCGTTCCTCATGCTGCATGGGAAAATCCACTCTCAGTGGTTGGCTTTCCTTTGGTGTGTCCCTCTCACAAACACAGACTTGGTTCCGGTACTGGTTCTAGCCCGTACTAACCACGTGGCCCGGGGCAACTTAATCTCCCTGATCTCCCTTTTGTCAGCCATGAAGGGCGGCTAATAACACCACTCTTGCTACATTGTTACTGGTTGGTGAGTGACGTGCTCACTCTTGCTGGATTGTTAAGAGTTAGTAAGTGACGCTCAGAATAATACTAGCACACCTCTTGTGGTTGTTAAATATGCATGCACCATGACAATTACTTCTATTAGGATCAATTCCTGGAAAGAGAGTCGATTCAACAGCCTGGAAGACCATGGTGACAAGGCCTTAGCTACTGCTGAGGTCTGGCCCATCATTGTTCTGTCACGGTTAGTTTGACAACAGCAGCCACTGTGTTGGGCTGCAGATGTCGGGCAGTGGGTAAGAGAATCAAAGCCTTGGCCCTCAGGGGAGCTTCTGTTCTTCCGGTACTGAGAGGCAATATCAAGCCCCAAGGTATTCGAAGACCATCTTAAAAAAGTAGGGTTGATGGGTAAGGCAGGCAGAAGGACCCGCATCACTGTGTTATAGATGGGGCCTGCATCCCTGTGCTATTGATCCGGGTGACTTTAATAGGACTTCAGTGGCGAGCTGATAGGCAGACTTCACTCTGCTGAGACGGCACTAAGGACTGCTCCGGAGTACCCAGGAGCCTGGGCTCACATCTCCCACTGTCTCTGCTTTCCCCTCCCTCACTTTTGCACACATGCTCTTTGCAATTTATGAATCACACAACTCCTGAGTTTCCTATTCTTTTTACTTCTGTGGTAGAGAAGGAGCTGTTGCCGTGGCAACCACTCAGCCTTGCCCCTCCTTTGCATTTCAGTGTGTGGTTCTGACTGTGGTGCTTTTGGGTGGCAGAGCTCCCGGGAGGGACTCTGGCTCCTGACCTAGAGCGGGTACCGGAGACTAGTCCTTTCTGGAGATGCACACCTTGACCAGGCCTGAGAGATGGGAGTGGGAAGCGTGGAGGCACCAGCCAGTGTTTAGAATTCTCTCTCTCTCTGCTGAAGGTTGGTTGGCCTTGCTAAGGGTTGCATCCTTTCAGTGAACTGTACCTGGGCCCCTTGGTGGTTTACACCACCCACTGCATGGTTACAGATTGTTCTATGCCCTCTTGTAAAATGACTATTACTTGCATGTGTGCATGTATGTGTGGGTGCAAGTGTGTAAGGTGCACATGCGTATGTATGTATTTGCATTTAGAGGTCAAAAGACAACTTCAGGTTGTCCTTCCTCAGGAGCCATTCAGCTCTTTTAGAGACAGGGTCCCAGTGACCTGGAATTCACCTAGTAGACCAGGCTAGCTGGCCAGTGGGCCCCAGAGAGATTTGCTTGGGATTACAAATGTGTGTCCCCCACACCTAGTCTTTTTCTTTTTTAATTTTGTGATGTGGGTTTGGGGGACTGAGGGCCTGCTTGTAAGGTAAGCACTTTACCCACTAAGCCATCTACCAGTCCGATTTTTAGGTTTTTGACTCTTGTAGCCCAGGCTAAACTCAAGTTTCTGGACCTCTTGCCTCCATCTCCAGAGTGCTGGGATTCCGGGAGTGTGAGGCCGCACTGTCTTGGCAGTTCATCCACGCCCCAGCGCATATCAGCACTCTATTCCATTTGGACAATGGTGTTTCCCTCGGGCCCGCCACACATCTGACCTTTGTGTGTAGTGAGCGCTGCTTGCTGTCTGCCTCCTAGTGCCCGTGTCTGTGTGGTGTGTGTCTTCACTTCTCGGGTGTGGATGCAGGAGAGCGATTGCTCTTTTCCAAATTCCCTGGTTCCTTGGTGATATTTGTTATTAGATGTGGTTTCGTTTGTCTGGGTGTGAGGTAATATCCGAGGACTCTGAAATTCTGTGACTGTTGTGAGCTTTGTGTCCTGTGACCAGTGGCTGTTTCAATGTCTTATTTAGGAAGATACGTTTTGAAATCCCTTGTCTCCATTTTAAAATTAGGATATTTTTCTGTTGGTTATTTAGGTGTAAGTTTGAGTTGGTTTATATTCTAGATATAGGTCTGTTTTCATATAAATGTTTTGCCAAAAAAGATTCATTCTATGAGTTGGAAATCCGTGCTTCTCAATGATGTCCTGAAACTGCAAATGCTTTAAACACGGACACCTAATTAGCAGCATCCTTTTCTTTTTCTTGTACTATTGATGTTTTTGGTGTCATAGCTTTTTTTTTTTTTTTAGACAGGGTTTCTCTGTGTTACAGTTCTGGCTGTCCTGGAACTAGTTCTCACACTCACAGAGATCCACCTGTCTCTGCCTTCCTAGTGCTGGGATTAAAGGCATGCGCCACCACCACCCGCCATTGGTGTGATAGCTTTAAGGCCATTGTTTATCTGAAGCCTGACTTCCCTGCGTCTTCCTTCATTAGGTTGATATTTCGACTCTTACACTTAGATATTTGGTTCACTTAGAAGTAACTTTTGTGCACAGTGCAAGGGAACGATCCACTCCGCTCCACTCCAGCTTCTCTCCAGGCTACTGCTACTGTTTCACAGCAGTTGCCTGGTCAGGGCAACTTACGAAAGGCCGATGAGAGGTCTGGCGAGACGGGACACCGGGTAACGGGCTTGCCCTGCACAGGGAACTGAGTTCAGCACCAGGAAGATGCCAGGAAGCAGCTTCTGTCTGTAGACTCAGTGCCAAGGGCGGGGGTGGGAGACAGAGATAGGCAGACAGACCCTGGAGCAAGGCAGCTTAGCCAATCGGAGCTGAGTTTCAGCTTCAGTAAGGGACCCTGTCTCAGAAACGAGGCGGAGAGCTCACAAGATGTCTCAGTGGGTAGCAGCTCATGCGGTGGTGGGAAAGAACTGATTCCAGTCAGTTGTTCTTTGACCTTCACGTGCACGTGCATGATTGCCATGGCATTACCTTCACATGCACGCACATGCTTGCCATGGCATGACCTTCACACGCACGCACATGCTTGCCATGACATGACCTTTACACACACATGTTTGCCACGGCATGACTTTCATGTGTACACACATGCTCACTATGGCATGATCACATAAACACACATGCTTGCTATGACATGATCTTCACACAATACACACATGCTTGCTGTGGCATGACCCTCACACATACGCACATGCTTACCATGGTATGACCTTCACATGCACACATATGCTTGCCATGGAATGACCTTCAAATGTACATACACTTGCCTTGGTGTGCCCCCCCACCCCAGCAAAATATGAAATGTAACAAACTTGAAAAATGAGGTGGAAAATGAAAAAGACACCTGACATCGACCTTAGGCCTCCACATGCATGTGCACACATGTGTGTGCACCTGTACATGCATGTACATATACACGAACATGCACCCTCTCATAAGTTAATTGATCATAAATGTCATAAAATAATTAAACAGTAGAAAAGCCCGTTTTTATGGCCTTCTGACTCTTTTCTGTGGATCTGTACAGCTGCCTGAGCCACTGTTTCTGTGCTGTGATAAATGCCTGGCAAGAGCAGCTAAAGGACAGCAGGTCCATTTGGGTTCAGTCTGAGGCTTTGCCCATCAATGCGTGTGTGTGTGTGTGTGTGTGTGTGTGTGTGTGTGTGTGTGGGAGGTCGCAGCCCCAGGAACTTGAGGCAGATGGTTACATTGTGTTCTCGGTCAAGAGTGAGGAACCATGGATGATGGTGCTCAGCTCCTTTCTTCCTGTATATGCAGGCCAGAATCCCAGCCTAGGGAATGGCACTGCTCACAGAGAACAGGTTTTCCCATCTCAGTTAAGCCAACCAAGATAATCCTCCATAGGCATGCCTACAGCCATGTCCCAGGGCATCCCGGGCCTTTGACAATTGAGATACCATCACAAATAGCTGTTTTTATGTTAGTGTATTCTTTTGGGGGCTTGGTTCTTGCTCAGAATTTTTAGATAAGAGTGATCTCAAAACTGGGCCGCGCAGTGTTTTTGCCAGCTAATGCAGTCAAGGAAACGGTGCAGGCTTGTTTGCTCGTGTTCTTGTGGCTACTTAAGGCAGAGTCAGTTCTGTTCCCGTTGGTGCCGCCTGCTGTAGAGTGAGGTCCAATGGCCTTGACTTCTTAGTTCCCAAAGGTCTTACCCATCCCAGAAGCCCCACCACCGGCACTCCATTCCTTGTCTTTTCTGGCTCTAAGTGCCAGCCAGTGGTGAAGCCTGGGGATACTTCGGAGAAAGCAGTGTATTTAGTCTAGAGAACTGTATTCAGGGTTCAGCCTTCTGATTTGGGCATCTCTTCCCTTCTTTGAGCTTCAGAGGCCAAATGCTATCCAAGGCCGGGGAGAGCGTCTGCAGATCCTGTGGGCTCAGGCTTTATGGTTCTGTTTCTCTGAGAGAAACAAACCCAGTGCATTGGTATTGGCAATGACTAAGTGTGCTGCCCCAGAGACAGCAGCTGCTCAACTTCTCTTCCATCTGGCAGCCACGACAGACTCATTGATCCGGCATCCTCAGACAGAAGCCGGACATGGGCAAGCTGAGATGAGCTTGCCTTCCTTGCCCATGAGCAAACTGAGATGCTCTTGTCTTCCTTGCTTCTCACCGTTGCTAGCACTTTAAGGAAGAGGCTAGTGATGATCAGGGTACCACAGAAGGAGCTTGGGTATTCAGTTACGTGCCTTCGAATCCCATCTCTACTTTCTTGTGGGCCTTTGAGGAACTTATTGGTTTCTCTGGGCCTCTGTTCCCTCGTTGCAGGATGCAGGCATTACAATTAGCCTCACTTCAGTGAGCTCGTTGTAGAGAGAATTAAATGAAATGGTGTCAGGCTGCAGGGAGCACTTAGACCAGTGGTTGGCAGTCCCTCACTCAGCAAATGCTGTCTGTGACAATAGTGAAAGGTGAGGTAAGGACCTGGAAGGCTGATGGAGAAGGCCTGGGATTGGCTAGGTCCTGTGGTACCCTAAGGTGCTCAAATATCCTTTTTTTGGGCCTTTTTTGAGGTGTTGGGGATCCAGCTCCACTGAACCCAGAATGTTACATACACTAGGCAGGTTCACCTCCACTGCTTATACCCCAAGGCCTATTTTACCTTTTGTTTTGAGACAGGGTCTTATTAAATTGCCTAGGCTAGCCTTGAACTTACTCCGTAGCCTTGAACATGAGATCCTCCTGCCTCAGTCTCCTGAGTAGCTGGGATTGCAGGCTTGCGCCACCAAGCCCAGTTCTCAATTACCCATCCTGTTGATTGATTAATTCCATATATTTGTTTGTTTGAAACAGTGTAGGATCTATTATGTGACAGGTATGCAGCCTAGTGTCCAGGGTACAAGATTAAATATGTTAAGCCCGTTTATAAGTTAATGGTGGGACGTTGGTGACAGCCACCTAAGAAGACAGTTGCAAGATTCTGGTGTGTGTGTTCACATGTGTGCACATGTGTGGAGGCCAAGAGGTCAGTGTTGGGCATCTCACTGAGACAACATCATTGAGCCCTCCTCCCTGCCTGTGTTAAGACAGAGACAGTCTCTGTGCCCGCCCTCTATACTGACAGCGTGTGAGCTGGGTGGGACAGGGGTGGGTGTCCATGCTGTGACCTTTTCTGTCACCTCACTGGTGTCTTACAGTAAGCAGCTGCTGTGTGACGTGATGATTGTGGCAGAAGACGTGGAGATAGAAGCCCACCGTGTGGTCCTGGCGGCCTGCAGCCCTTACTTCTGTGCAATGTTCACAGGTATGGCGAGGGCACGCAGCAACCAAAGGAGAAGGCTGAGGGTGGCTGCAGGAGGTGGGGGAGCAGGACGAGGGGAGGGAGGAGAGACCGAGTCGTGCAACCAGCTTTGAAGAGTGTCCATGTTCTGAGCTTTGTGTATGGAGAACTTGAGGGGGCCTCAGCCTCAGCCAGGCCAACAGGACATGTAATCTTTGGGCCCCCACCGGGAACAAAGATAGAATCAAAGGACTCATGAGTCTCGAGCATCAGCATCACAGCCGTGGGGGAATGTGCATCCGCAGTGTAGACCTCTGGCTGTCTGCTGGGCCTGCTGAGGGCCAAGGCAGAGAACATCCAGTGGGAAGGGCTTGGCTTCTTCACTCCTGGCCCCGTGCTACCCCACAGGGACTGTTCTGGTCATTTCTCCCAGGCATGAATCAGGGTTCTCCTGTAATCTCTCTAAAGGTGTGGACATCTGGAGATGTGATGGTAGAGGAACAACCAGGGTCTGCCATAACTCCAGCACCTTTGCCAAGTTTGCAGGGAACAGCTTGCCTAAGGATCTCATATAGTTACAACTGGGCTGAGTCCCTGAATCCCATAGGCTGAGCTGCCTGTCTGCGATGACCGTATACGTGCAGCATTCTGATGACCGCTGTCGGAGGGAGCCATCTGGGCTTGTGAGACACCAGCCTGCTCGGGTGTCCCTGCCACATGCTTCCTAAGTGGCCTGGGCTTGCTCTGGGTGTGACACCTATGCTCTTATATCTACCTGGCCGGTGCCTGGTGTCCGCGACACTTGTGCGCTGACCTCATGTAACTGGTGCTTCTCATCCTGCACACGGATCCCTCAGGAAAAGCCCTTGTTATCGTCTTAGCTCCACACCAAGGCTCTTTCCATCCTATGTCATAACTATTTTTTTAAAGACTAAACTATAGCCATCTGTTTTTTTTTAAACCTGTCTCCTCATTTCTTGTGAAGATGGGACTCTTGTTTGACCTGCTTGTCACCCTATCTTAAATGCTCATAGCAGGGCACAAGTATTTTGTTAATGAGTGGCTTTAGGTGTTGGAGAGACCCGTCTTGTCAGCGTTGGGTCCACCCTGCCCACAGAAGACAGTGGACGAGTGCAGGGAGGAAGGGAGCCTGAGCTTGCGGAGTGGTGAACGCAAACCTTTTCCCTCTGTCGCGTCTCGTTTACCCTACTGTGGTGCTCAGCTGGGCAGGAGTGACAGGGTTGTTGGCAGGGCCTTGGTATTGTTCTGCAAGAATCCCCCGTGTGTGCATCCCCTGGCTCATTGCACGAAGGGGTTGGTCTCAGTTTGGAATTGTGTACCTGCTGAAGTTGGCCAGGTGTCCTGTGCCACTTGAGTTAGGGCAGGGTTTTTATCATATAGCCTGGGAAACCAACTGTGCTCACCACCTCCCTTCAGAGCAGCTGTGCTCACCACCTGGGGCTCTCACC